CTTAATCACGCCCCCCACATTTTGCGATCCAGGTCCATCATACATCATAAACATGCCCTTTCATGTGGCGATTTCGGTTCATCATATATCTTCAACACGCCCCCTCCTATGGCGCTTCCCGTTCATCATAATAAGCATATCTTGAACAATTCCGGTTCATCATATATCTTAAACCCGACCCCCTTCCCTCATTAGGCGGAGCATATATCTTAAACACGGCGCCTCATCACATATCCTGAACACGCCCCCTCATTTGACTCTGCACTTTCGCTAAACTGCTAAACGGCTAAACGGCTAAACCCGCCCCCAACTTTTCACAGACCCGTGGCCACGGCAGGGCCCAAAAAGAGAGCGGGGGCATTCCATTTGCAACCGCAATGTCTGTATCAGGGGTTCTGAAGGGATCCACAGGCGTCATGTTTCTGCTTGCAGGATGTCATGTTGAAGCGAACTTGCACGGCTTAAACAAGCAAAGCGGGCTGACCAAGCAGCGCAAAACACTGACAGGGAGCTGGTTGTGTGAAGGACTGTCGATAGTGTCTTGATGCATGCCTGGGGAGGTCTTCTCACGCGTGAACAAGCATGGTTCGTGCGAAAACTTCGAACGAGAGAGAGCAGACATGACTTTGCATTCCGTGCACACACACACACACACGTGTACTTAACAGACATAGACTGTGTCGTTGTTGCTGTTGCTGTTGAGCATATACCTTAAACATGCCATCATACATCTCAAACATGCCCCTCATTTATCATGTGAGATTTCCATCATACCTTTTAAACTCGCCTTTACACGTGGCGATCCGGTTCATCATATATCTTTAACACACAGCCCTCCCCGTATTGGGCGATTCAGGTTCATCATATGTCCTAAGAACGCCCCCTCATTTGGCGACCGAGGTTCATCATGTATCTTAAACACGCCCCTCATCGTATGTCTTAATCATGCCGCCTCACTTGGCGATTAATATTCATCAAGTATATCTCATTTGCTAAATGTGGCCCGCGGCCCCGGCGACCCGCGACAATGCTAACAAAGAGACCGGAGGGGGGTTCGGGAGCCGCAGGACCAGGGGACCAGAGGCTAGAGGGGCAGCCAAAGGAGCAGGCACCACACAACCAGGGACCAGAGGACCGGGACCTGGGCCAACCCTACCAAGTTGCCAATATTTGCAAATACTATAATACAGCATTTGCTCTTGTTTTGTATGAAGCTATTGTGGGGCAGTGACCAGGGGACCAGGGTACCAGGGGCCTGGGCCAACCCTCCCTCCCAAGGGCCCCGCACGGAAAAAAAGGGCCCCAAACCCCAAATCCAAACCAAAACAAGAAGAACCGAAACCCTAAAGTCCTAAACCCTAAACCAAAAAAAACGAGAAGCAAAAGCCCTGGGCTCTCCTCCAGCAACCTTTGTCTGGACTAAGAGCCGGGAGGCGGCGACGAGACTCTTCATGTTCGGAAAGTCTCCGATGGGTCCAGGCAGATCGGCCTCCGCAGGGGTCTCTGCTTCGATCCTGTTAGGGTTTATGGGTTTAGGGTT